TTTGGGAGCACTACATTGTGATAGTTTTGGCTCTACAAATCTTTTTAACAAAGTACCTAGCAGGGCTATTGATAGGGCAATTTTTCCATTTAAGAAAAAAGTAGGAATTATATATATTAGAATAATTAAGTGTTAAGATAGGGGATGAATTGTGATTGTTGTCAAGAAAATAGACAGCTTAGACATGAAATCAGTATTAAAAAAGCTAGAATTAATGAGTTAGAAGATCAGATCGAAGAGGTAAAAAGAGAAGTCGTTAAGATGCAGATAGATACTGAAGAAGCTGTAAATCGACATAAAGAAGAACTTGATAAAAAAGAAACAGAACTCCAAAATATAAAATACATATACGTCCAAAAATATCACGACCTTGAAAGAGAAGTCAACGAATTAAAGAAAAAAATAGAAACCCTAGAGATCGATCTCGAATGCTCACAAAGATTAAATAGTCGAATCATACCAAATTATAATGCACAATATGAAATTCTTCGAGAAAGAACAACTGCTTATCAAATTATGTTAAACAAACAAGGTAATTATTAGTTAAACATAATAATTATTTTTTGAATCTCATACAATATTAATAATAATATTTAGGTATTATGACAACACCCGTATTTGAAAGATCAGAATCAGAAGACATGGCACTTTACTTTTATGAAGACGAAAATAATAATCAAATCGATAATCAAACCGATAGATAATAAACAAAAAAGTATAATCGTATATGATTTTGTTTTTTTTTCAATAAAGTCTAGCAGAATTTTTTTTTTCTTTTTTTTCATCATTTAAAACTAAAAAAAAAAAAAATCAAGATTTCAAATGAATCATACTAGTCAGACTTTACGAGTTCATTGAAAAACATTTCGCCATATTACTGTGCACCTATATGTGCGTAAAAGATGTTACTTACTTAGATACTTTTCTAGTGAATCTCTTTACCTGTTTGTTGCAAATGAATGATTGCACTTTAGATGTTTCTACCTTTTTGTAAATAAAATAATAATAAATGTCAAATTATTGGAGTGATTCAGAATTAAGGTTCAGGTTTCTGATTTCGAATTAAATTAGTGATGTATTTATTTCGAAATCAGTGGTTCATAAATCTTATTTATTTTGATTTTTAAGCTTATTTATATAATAGCTTTTTATGATATTTTCTTTCGAGACTTGATATCTTTTCATAAATACCTTATATTTCTGATCGCCATTACATATTAAAAACGTAAATAGTACTCATAAAAAATATATCTAACTAGTGTAATAGGTGGCGCGTAGCGCCACCCTCTTATTGTGGTGACATATAGTATAAATTGAGATTATCTTAATTTCGCTATAAAAAACTGTTTTTTATCACGTTGTAGTTAAGGTTATATTAGTTTGTATTGGAATTAGCATGAATTCTATCATATACTACTGTAAAAAATACTGCTATACGTAGAATTTGCCAGTCTGTTAACACATAGTATTAAGTTTGCATCGAAATAATCATGATTTCTATTGTGAGTTATTATAAAAAAATTCTGCTACGGAACTTTCTATTCTTGTGATACACAGTATGTGGTTAAGGTTGAGTTAGTTTGCATTGTGCATTACTGTAAGAAATTCTGTTACAGAACTTATCATTCTGGTCACAGGTCCAAAGCATGAATATTCGATATCCGATAGTTAACTATGCTACTATTTGCACCAAAAGTCTAATTTATATCAAAAAATTTTGGGAGCATTTCAGGTAAAAATTAAATATCAGATATCCGATATTTATTTTTTGCCTGATATGCTTCTGGTATTTTTTGATATATGCCAATAGGGATCAGATTTTTGGCACAAATTGTTAGCAATAGTAGTTATCTGGTATCGGATATTTACTGTATGCTTTGGACTTATGGGTGATATGCAGTATGTAGTTGGTTTGCATTTGTAAAAAATTCTGTGATATAGCTTATTCTGGTGACGTATAGTATATTGTTAAAATTGAGTTAATTTACCATGAGCTACTATAAAAATTTTGTTACAGAACTCATTTGCTATTCTGTTGACATGGTTAAAGTTGAGTTAACTTGCATTGGAAATAATGTGATTTTTATAATAAGAACTGTAAAAAACTCTGTTACAAAGCTTGATGCCACACAATATGTGGTTAAGATTGAGATAGTTTGCATTAGAACTATTATGTTTTCTATTATGAGTTACTATAAAATATTCTGGTACAGACCTTGCTATTCCAATGATACAATATGTGATTAAAGTTAATTTGCCATTAAAATTATTATAATTTCTATAGTAAGCAACATGCTACAGAACTCACTTGCTATTCTGGTAATGTAATATGTAGTTAAAGTTGAGATGGTTTTATTCAAATCATTGTGTTTTCTACCAAGTGTTACTGTAAAAAATTTCTAGTATGTAGTTAAAGATGAGTTAGTTTATATTGTAAGCTATTGTAAAAAATTTTGTTACAAAACCTATTTGCTATACCAGTAACAGAAAGTATGTAGTCAAGATTGAATTGCATTGTAAAATTAATGCAAAAAAAACAGAACTTACTTGCTATTCTGGTAACAAAATATGTAATTGAAGTTGAATTGGTTTTAGTTAAATTATTGTAATTTCTATCAAGAGTTACTATAACATTCTGTTATAGAACTTATCACTATTCTTTTAACACACAGTATGTTATCTGTATAGTATATAAGTTCTATAACAAAATTTTTTATAGCAATTTACAATTCAAGATAATTTAATATGTATTAACCATATATTGTGTATTACCAAAATAGTGAGTAGTTTTATATCAAATATTTTTATAATAACTTACAATACAAAATAACTCAATCTTATTCATATATTGTGTATTAGTTTGCAATATAAGTTGCTGTAAAAAATTTGCTATAGAACTTATTTGCTATTTTGATAACACACAACATATATAATTAAAGTTGAGTTAGTTTGTATTAAAATTATCATGAATTCTATTATTAGTTACTATAAAAACGTTCTGTTACAGAACTTGCTATTTTAGAGAGAATATAATTAAGGTAAGTTAGTTTGTATTAAAATTATCGCAATTTCTATTATGAGCTAACATTACTATAAAAAATCTATTGTAAAATTTGTTATTATAGTGATACAATAATTGTATTGTTATTATAAAAAAATTATTTATAAAACTTATATGCTATTCTATTAACATACCAGATATAATTAAGGTTAAGTTAGTTTTTATTAAAACTATTATGTATTCTATTATGAGTTACTATAAAAATTCTGTTATAAAACTTATTTGCTATTCTAGTAATACATAGTATATGGCTAAGGTTGTATTAAAATTATTATGATTTCTATAACAAGTTATATTACAAAACTTACTTATTATTTCAGTTATATATAAAATATATTAAGATAAAGTTATTTTACTTGAAATTATTATTTTATTATAAGTTACTGTAAAAAATTCTGTTATAGAACATGTTTAATACTCTAGTATAGTATAGAATTTAATTAAAACTGAGTTAGTTTAATTTAAATTATCATAATTTTTGTTATAAGTTATTGTAAAAAATTTATTACACTATTTTGAATATAATATGTAATTGAGTTATTGAAATTGCTATAAAAAAATTTTGCTACAGAGCTTACTTATTACTTTGATAATACACAGTATATGATTTAGTTTGTATTAGAATTATTGTAAAAAAAATTTGTTATAGAACTTACTTACTATTAAGTAATACAGTAGCAATTATAGTTAAATTAGTTAGTATTAAAATTATTATGTTTTTTATTATAAAATATTGTTATAAAGCTTACTTACTTTTTGGTAATAGTAATATATAATATATAATTTTTTTTTTCACTTTGGCGATTCTGCTATAAACTTTATTAAATTTTATAATACGAAAGTATTATTACAATACCTTTATACTAATCTAATTTTAAGTATGATATCCTTTAGCATTCATGAACAATTGCATAATACCCAAGAGCAATCAGCTACACCAGTATACAAACTATACTGGATTGCTCTATCAAACTACCACACTATAAAAAGTGAATTTCCTAATTTAAGAAAATAAACTTCTATAGGAGTAAAGAAAATAGTACTATACTAACAAAGGAAAAAAAAAAGAAGAGAAATGAGGTAATGAACGACCAAAAAACTAAAAATAAAAAACCCTAAAAAGAATAAAAAAGGGAAAAAATAAAAAAGAAATACTTTAACAGAAGAGAGATAGGTAGTAAGAAAGAAGTTTTACCCTTCATGTCGAACAGAGCAAAATACACTATTATAGCCTGTACCAGGCAGACAAAAATTATATAACAAATGTAATATCTGTATATCTCTACTATAAAGCTATGTCTTAATATTAATTCTTATTCTTTCTGACTTCTTTACCAACTTCAGATAGCTTTATTGCCTGTACTAATTCATATCTCAAGCCAGATACAACCATTGTTCAAAGATCTGTATCTCAAGCCACCTGCTACTGTAATTAGAGTTCCCAAGCTAAGTTCCATACTGTAGCTCATATTTATCCATAAACAAACATGTGGTTGCATCCTACTAATTTGTCTGAATTTGAAAAGTAAACAAAGCTAATCTTTTAGAGAGGTAAGCCAAATCTTTACTTTTTGTTAAAATTTTTTGAAAAACTGATAAGGAGATAGTAAGAAGTAAAAAAAGAACTACTTGTCCAAGTAAAAAAATACAGCTTGAAAAAAATGTAGTTTTGTTGTTTCTCCTATATTCTTCTTTGAAGTAACAATCTAGAAGCTTCATTAACAAAGTTGAGCTGATGCCTACTCTTCACCAAGATTTTTTATACAAAAGTACTACCTGCTAGTTATCTTGTATAATAACACTCTTGGCTTGTATGCCAAACATCCTTTTAGAGGAGTTCTGCAAGCAAAACATTAACCTCTAGACAAACTACTTCATAGATCACAACTCTCCAACAAAATTTCTATTTTTCTATTAGTGGGATTTTTGGTTCAAGTGATCATTAGAAATAGTTGATCGATTAAGAATCATACCTAATATATAATATATAATTAAAATTAAATTAGTTTGTATTAAAATTATTGTAATTTCTATTATAAAAACTCTGTTATAGAATTTATACAATATATAAATAATTTGTATTAAATTATTATATTTTTTATTATATATTAGGATAGAGATATTTATCATCTATTTTTTTTTTTATCAGAAGATTACTCTCTTTTTCTAGCTTTTAATATATAATTAATAAGGTATTATATATATAATTTTAATTTTTTTAACTCTCTTCTCTTCTAAAAAATTATCTAATAAATGTTTATACTCTTACTATAAAAAATTATTATAGAATACTTACTATTATAATAGCATATAGTAAGTAGTCAAAATTGAGTTAGTTTGTAGTAAAATTTTTTTAAATTTTTAATATAAATTGTAATAAAAAATTCTTTTATAAAACTTGTATTTCAAAATACATATATAGCATGTAATTAAATTAGTTTGCATTAGAATTATTATAATTTCTATTATGATTTACTATAAAAAATTATAACAGAACTTATTTTGTATTGAAATTATTATGATTTCTATTTTGAGTTACTATAAAAAATTTATTATAGAACTTACTTTTTAATAACACATAATATAAGTTAGTTTGTATTAGAATTATTATTTTTTATAATTATAAATATAAAAAATTATAAT